TCCTCGTAATCATTTGACTGGCTATATGATCTACTTCGTTATATCCTTGTATTCTGGTGTGTCTTATGATTTGAATGATGGGGAGATGGGGGCCAATTTTATATATATATATATTAGAATATTGGCCCCACCATCACAAACAAATACTCCATATACATGTATATCATATTTCTTTGCATATTTTTTATTCTATATATATGTATATAATATATATTATTATGCTGTAGATATCAAGGGGCAATGGTCGACGGTCGTATTTGTGGGTTTGGGCGGTACGTGTCGTCGACGGGGGTGGTGGAAGAAGGCGAGTTTTTGGACGGGATGCTGCACGGGGAAGGCCTGCGGGAAGAGCCCAATGGGTATGTAAAAATAATAATATATATATATATCGAAAATATTACGGAATCCGTATTATTTATGGATTATATATATTTAGCCATGTTGAGGAAGGCACGTTTGCATTTGGAGTGTTGGACGGGTATGGCACTCAACGCAACAAATTCCACGACGAGTACGACGGCAGCTTTGACATGGGTACGTACGGTTAAAAAATCATTTCAGATTTATAAAAAAGTGATTTCAAATATTTATTTATTTATTCTATTATAGTATTTTTTAATGTGGAAGTATTTCTTTATAATAACGATCCAATCAGTGTTCTGATAAGAAATATGGACTGGTTTGTACTATTGAGATAGGCACCAAGAGTGGGCGGGGGGTGCTACATCTGCACGACTGCCACGCCACGCTCAGAGGGTTCTGGGCAGATGATTTGCCGTCTGGACGTGGAGATTTGACGTATTTCACCAAGTCCAACGCCCTACGAACTCGAGTACGTTGTTGTGCGCGATCTATATATATATTGAAGTAAGAAAAAATACCAAACAAATGACCAACTACTGGGGTCGAATTGAAGTGTATTTATATAATATATATATTCAACTAAGAACAAATTACACATGAAATGGAGTCGATTCAAGTGATGATGTTGGCATAGCCACGTCAAATGGACTTCTGTATGTGTGTGTGTTGTGGTATGTCTTCGCCGGTTCTTGATATTTCTAATCAAGGCGGAAGATCAAATCTCTTGCAATTCGTGCTACGATCTATCTATATATATGTATATATACATATTTATATATACCCCTAGTTTTATGTAGTACCACGGTTGTAAAAATCCATGCAGGTGGTGGGTGGTATATACGTCATTATATTTACCGTTTGGTTCATACATATATATATATATATACAAAACTGTTTAATTCATGATATATAGAAGTTGTCGACCCCTGCGCCTCAACCTACCACGTCTGTCCAAGTCGAAGAGCCAGACGCATCGGACAGTGTCGAGTTCTGGTACGAAGGGTCATTTAGTCAAGGCAAAGTCAAGGGGCGGCACCGCCATGTAAACGTCCGCCACCAATCTGCCCCTGGTCACGTGCCGTTTACAACGTATGGCAAGAGCATCACGCACATGTCATTTCCCATACAAATGGCAGCAGCGATGGTCAAGCGTAGCACCCGCCATGTCATGTACGTTTGAATCTACCAATGAAAACATATATATATATATACCTTGTTCAAGGGAAGATGATATCCAAGGGATACAAAGTATTGTGGATTCGGCACAAAGTTTCAGACCCCGCCGAATAATCGAATCATCACGAATAAACGACGCTATTGGCTAATATCCATTTTTAAGTGGATTTGATTGGCTCTTAAAGAAAAAGTATATTCAACCAATCAGAACTCCAGCGTGATGCAATATATTGATTCGATAAACCAGGCGAATTTTGGAAGTTTAAAGCGAATAATTCACAATATTGCAAGTCGTCTGCTTTGAGTCCAAGTACCGTTCTATGGAATGTACTAGTATATATATTCGTATACAAGTACTGACGATATGAGTTGACTTTTGGTGTGTGTAAAATATAGCAACAGGCATCGACGACGAGTACGAGAAGCTGCCTACTTGGCCGAGACCGAAACCACCAACCTGCGGTATGTACTTCGTTTATTTATATATATATATATATATATAACCCGAATCGATGTCTATATATATGACTATACATGTATCTAATGTCGTTGTTTACTACGAAGATTCTAGTCATAGAATTCCAATGCTAGATCATCGACATGGACTATAAAGTATATAGATATTTTCAAGTGTATACTGTACATGTATATATATATATATATATATATATATATATCCTACTACTTCATACTAGCTCAAAGTATAATATATATATACATATATTCGAATGAAATAAATATATTCAAAGTATATACAAATGTATATATGCTTTGTCCATCGTACATATATGTTGATGGTTTTGGGGTGGTAGACTTCTCGATTGAGTGGGATTCAGATGATAGGTATGACTGATACATATATACTGTATTTTGTAGGTTGTACTATGATTTACTGGACGAGTTTTACGAAGCATGGGCCAATCACGTGCAAGCAGCAGGACATGCGACCCAATCAGAGGCCGAAGAAGAAGATCATCGAAATAAGAAAAAGACCCCCAAACTCTCCAGGCGACTGGCTGACTTTCCATCGCTGGTGCGCCGCATTCCACTTGAAACCAAAGATAAGATGGCGTTGGCTTTGGCTGCCGTGGACGACTCTACGAAATAGCATACATACTAGTAGTAGTAGTACTAAAAGTAGTCGTACTAATATGAAACGAGTACATATGTATTAATAGTACGTACGACTAGTATGTAGAGCATTCATAAATATTAGTAGTAGTATTACAATGTACAGTTCTTCAAATACCATAGTCGCACAGATTACAGTAGTAGCTCGGTACTACGGGTTACTGCTTCGAGTACACTTATATGGGCCACGTTAATCAAAGCGCCTTCGTGTGTATGTATGTATACTCAAGTGTGGGTATTGACTGGCTGGATATACACTAATCGGGAAATCACAAAACGAAGAGACCATTCCTAGGTGTAAACTAACTTTGCCAGCCTCGATATCGCATATATCTGCGATACGTTGGCATACACCACCAGCACCTGACTTTTGGTGTCACCACCATGAAGTATCAACTATTACGACCTCGAAATGTCAATATCTCCAACAAGCACTCTACTACCTTATGCAACCGACTAACAGGAATCGTATACTGGTACTAGTTAGTCGTAAACACTGTACGTATGCAACTAACTACTAACAAGAATGGTATGGATGGATGTTAGTATATGTTTAGTTGGGTTGACTAGTTGGAGGCTACGAATACGTCGGGCACACGGACGACACGAGCACGTTCTTTTGCCGGTCCACGTCAAACATGTACTTGCCAGGCGCGGCGGCTCGGACTGCTAGTTCCATCTTGGGTGCGCACGTCGCATTCAAGTGCTTGTACCCTCCTACATGTATATATAAATATATATATACATACATATATATATTTAAATATATACATACATATATATATCACCATCTGAACGAGGCAAAAATCATCATAGCCCTTCATTCGGCAAAATAATATATATTATATATATCTGAACAAGGCAAAAAACATCATGGCCCTTCATTTGGCAAAATAATATATATTATATATATATCACCTGGAAAGTGCAAAATAAACGGAATTCCGCCGTGCCACGCAAGTTTGGACGGCGCGTGCGCTTCGAAATACGACGCGTCGCACCCGCCGTGTAGCGTAAAATGGTCCAAATCCCCCGGGGTGACGAAAAAACTTGTCACGAAAAAAATCTCGCCGCTCGTGTCCACTTTGACGTTGATTTCAGGGTACCTAGGACGAAGAAAAAAAAAAAAGAAAGAATAAGTTGATAGCGACCCAATACAATGCAAGTTTCAGCGATGAAGAATCCCTAAAGAGCTAGTGACTGATAGTATACAACAAGTAAGTACTAGTACACCTCCTCGTTCAAACAGTGCAAACCAACCTGGAGATCATGCAACCGAGCTAGCCACATGACAAACCTAGTTACGCCAATCAAATCACGTTCTGTTGAATTTCTGCCAATCCAAACGTTTCATGGATCGTCCAAGAACAGCGCAAGCCAATCAAATCAATTTTCTGCCAATCCAAACTTTAGCCATATCCATGAGGCATAACGTTACTACATTTTGTTTGTCCAAGTTTCGACATTGATATGGCGAAATGAATGAAATATTTGGAGCACAAGCACAAAATCGGGTGGTCGTTGTTACCGGACATATGCCAGCTGGAAGGCGATTTGGTCGCCGTAAAAGAAGAAGGGCGACTCGCGGCGGTCGAATTTTTGCTGCTGCTCGGCATGCACTTGGTTGACCCGCCGGAGGAACGCGCGGACGCTCTGGACATCGCCAAGGATGCCGCCTGATCCGAGGCTCCAGTTGGGGCCCTTGGATAACTGACAATACAAAACACACTCAGTTGAGAGATGAAGAGGGTTATTAATACATTCCAGCCCAACCACCGGCTGAAGAATGTAGTGCATACATTTGTAGGAAACGAAAGGTATTAGTGTTAATATGTGTACAGTACATGTAAATACAAGCTTGAGCCCAACAAATCGATGGATTTGGCGAAAATCCAAATTAGTATTGACGGTTATTAACAGTAAAGACATAGTACGTTGGATATATAGCGTACCGAATTCATGGACGTTTTCGCAGCAATCATGTTGCACATGTTGTCGCCTTGAATCGTCCGTTCGGGATATGTCGAATCCAGCTGGACCGTGAATGCACCATGGCGTAGCTGGTCGCCGTACATGCCTACGAATAAACCCACCAAATCACTTTGGGCAAAATATACTGAGAAAAAATAATCGTTTATGTTTCACCTACTAGTATGTACTAAGTACGTATAACACATCACCACGACCAAGACTACAAGTCGGATGATCGCCCCCTTCGATGAGTCACATGAGGAGTGTCCTATATATATATCCCACTGACCACAAACCATCGTCACACCAATATATATATATTTAAAAGAATATACTCGTAGCTCTATAGGATGAAGCACTAGATTGTGGATGCATCAAACACACACACACACATAGATCAATCAACGATACTGTACCTGGCAACGTGAACGAGTCGCCACAGCCGGGTTCGCCGTTGAAGATGACCCCGCGCTGGTGGTTGGTCTGCGCCAAGAACACCGCGGTGAGCTCACGCAAGTCACGCTGAATGACCACATCCCACGCGTCCGTGAACAAGATCAAGTCGTCGTCGTGGAGGTCGGCGTTGTGCTCAAAGTAATGCGTCAGCCAGTGCACCTACAATTTGTCAGCCGGCGATTTCGGATGTGTCAATAATTAGATTCGAATGCGCTTGATATCACCCCTTCTACTTGTGTGCATGGGGTTGAACGGGTCGAAGTATATGAATAGTATTGTGTTCATTCAAAACTGGTACTGTGGACGCCCCCTGACCAGGTTTGAGGGGTTACTTGTACTGGAGTGATCATCCGTATCGACACGTGATAAAAACGGAGTGATAAAGAACGAGTCAATCATGTGTAGTAGAACTCCATCCAATTAACTTGACCGGACGCGAAGTCTACTAGGATGAACGAAATGTCGTGTTTTCACGTTCATGCGTGTACATATGTATCATGGCACACAAAAGAAGTCAATAGCTAGGTATCTACACATTCAATTGGATACGTCGACATTCAAGTTTGGGGGGGGTGACAGGGGGGAAGGGGTACCTTTTTCTGCTGCCCGACTCGAAAGTCGCCGTCAGTGTTAGCTTTGCTACAAGGCCCCCCGCAGCTCGAATGGTCAAAGAACTCGGTGCTGTGGTCCCACGCCAGCACTTGCAACACCATGCCCGATTGGTACACGGACGACGCGGTCAAGCAAATCTCCTACTCCCGCCATAAAACACAGCACAAACACGCTGTATAAAAGGGGGGGGCAAGATAAGACTACCGCGCGTGGGTTGTCGGCCAGCGTCAAGACACGCAGCGGTCGAGGAATGAATCCGGTGGGGGCTTCAGGAGCCGAGAAAGGGGGCTCGACTACTATCGGGGGGGTCAACTCGACTGGATCGTCGTCGTCGTCACGGAGGACATCGGCGCTGAACGAAGCATTCGTGGGGGAGGGTTGGCTTAACGAGGAGGCGTCGCGCAACGAATTCGACACGGCGGCGGCTTTGGGACGGACGTGGGCGCCGGTGGAGTGCATGAGCGCGTTCATCTTGCGGTACGTGAGGACGTCTGTTGCGCCAAGCAGTGCGCCAGTAGCGAGCAAGGCCAGTAGCGGCCACTGGTACTTCGTGGGCATGACGACTGGCATGATTGGAGCACTCTGATGGTTGTCAAGTGGGTCCCAACGGGGCTTGAACGGTTTGTTTCGCTTGTAACCGAATGTGTCTGCTGGATTTAGACCGAAACCCAAAACAACAATGGAAATCGAGCCAAACTCGTACTACTAAGGTTATTAATAGTACCGTGGAAACGTGGAACTTTGACTTATATATGTACCCGTTGAACCGAGCTTAAACTTCAGGGACTACAGTAGGTATAGCACACTAGTAGTGCCTTTGTCGATATCGACGTCTTGGTTGTCCTAAAGTCATCCTGAAGTTAAACATTGGGAGCCTTCTACTGTAGTTGTGGCCAATTTAACCGACGCTGTATGTCTGTATATCGATCAAGACAGTGTTGCCACCACGGAAATCTCCCCATTCAAATCACCCGTTTACATGTCGACGGTATACTTCGACGATCGAGCTTGCTTTCCTCTTGTTTGAATACTACTAGTACTACGAAGAATTAATAGTACCTCAGACTGTACCTACGCGATTGCAGTGAGAAATTCGATTAAATGGACCTGGAACCCCTACTCATTCAAAGGCCGGAGTGGGCAACCATGACCTGTTGGCCGCTCATAATTTGTACGCCGCCACCGACCTCAATGGAGGCACATGCGACACGATATGGCCGTCCCAGTAAGAAATACAAAAGGGAAACTTTACCTAGGGAATTGCGTTTCCCTAGGGAGTTTTGGCAAAATTGAATAGGGCCATATGGAGGGAACGCTATACCCCATAATTCAAAAATGGCTGCTGATATGCTCCATTAAATGGTATCACCCAATAAAAAGACTGGAATCTGATCCTTATAGACCATCTGCACTATGGTATGATGAGACAATAGACTTGCTCATGCTAGAAATATACTTGTACTACGCCTGTCCCACTTATATTTGTCCCAGTACCAGTCAATAAGATTATACAGTTTATGAAAAACTCTACTGAACCACGCATGTAAACCAAATCCTCTATGTATGGATATCTCAGCACTCAGATCCGATATTATTTATCAAGACTAATAGATGACTACGGTGAGAATTGATCATCATTCCTCTTTTGTTTCTATGATATCTTCCTCAAAGTTAGGACAAACAGCTGCCTGAATTCATATTCAGATTGTCCTTGGAATGGACTATTTAAAAGTATGCTATGTCTACTACAAAGCCTTGAATTGATTGAAATATTCCCATTCAACCCTGAAAATGTGGTCTGGAGCAATATAAGTGGGACAGACGCTTTCGAAGTTGTATGACAAATGTGCAGAAGAAGGTAACCAATCAGATTGCAGGAAATCGATCGTACCATGAGACAACAATCAAATGTAGGCAGGCGTCGACGTACCTTTGAAGTCGGATGTGTCCGTGGCTGGTGCCGCGGCGGCCACAACGGTGGTATCGATGTCTGCGTTGAAGGTGTGGGTGTTGGGAGTCATTATACTCGCGTGGTTGATCTTGTCGATTTGTGTACGAAGAACGTTACAGCTGAATTAGTGTGACAGCGTTAACTGTCAGTGCGACAGGCATCCCTGGTAGACATTTTTTACATAAGCTGCATACCGTAATGTCTGTCCTAAAACTCGATCGATGGATGGCTTTATAAATCCACACAAAAGTCCACGTTGTGGCTGAAAGGACAATACTATTACTACGGTACTCGTAGTACATACTATTAATAGTAGTAGTAGTAGGGTAGGTAGTAGTAGTACATAGTAAAGTGCCAGCAAGTGCATTTATCTTTGAGAATGTATGTAATGGAATGGGCTTGTTTGATTGGGTGATCGTTGACCTGTCAAATTGAGTTCCAGTTCTTGACAGATTCAAATTCCCTAAATAAGAACTATTTAGGGATCCACGTGTACGTTGGATATATGTTCATTGGCGCAAAATTCAAATCATGCCAAGCGACGGCAAACGTGCCGAGTCATCACGAAGTCCGTCGCGCTACGTGCTCCCCATGGTGGCCGTGGGTGTGATGGGCATGTGCTTCTTCGTCGTGGGAGTTGTCAATCTACGCGGTCCCACCCCCCCATCCATGGCATTTCGGCCTCACGTGATCCCGTCCGAGGCTTTCACGCCGCGGAAGGTCCATTACTTGACGTTGGCCGACCTTCCACGCCAGGTAAACAAACGCATGTACATGCAACCAACATACCCTAGATGATCCTCATCTTGCGTCTCTAGGATATCTGCCTCACGGCATCGTCCATCTTTACGTTGTCGAACGGTGAGCTCGAGGTTCTGGCGTGGAACCACAGCACGACGTTCTTTGACGGGACGTCGCCGACAAAGGTCGAGGTCCCGCCGCGCGAAGGCCGCGATACGTTTCGTGCAGGTCAAGCGAAGAAGGTACTCCATCCCTCCATCGTTCCACCCATGTCGTCACGTATACTCGCTCGTCTTCAGATCGACTGGATTGCGCATTACATTGCCCACCACCCAAACCTCCACGAAGACGATATTGTCATGTACACAGACGCATGGGACGTGACGATTCAAAGCAACATGAGCTCCGTGGGATCGGTTCTGCATCGACTCACAAACGGTCGGCGTGGCCTGCTCTTCAACTCGGAGCCATGCTGCGGCGACTCGTTCGGTCTGCCAGGCCCGTATGGCGACTACCTCCGGTCCACGTCGTTTGATGTGCAGCTTTCCCCCCATGAGCCGACGCAGCGCGTGCCGGGGCCGCACATCTGCCGCCAGATGCTCATCAAGTCGTCCATGTACTCGGAGATGGGCGGGCCCAACTGGAGCTTGGGGTCGGGCGGAATCGTCGGCGATGTCAAGACCTTTCGCGAGTTTATGCTCAAGGTGGTGCACATCACCAACGAACAAGTCGCGCGGGCGGTCGCGAACCCGCTCGTGCCGTTGTATGAAGGCGACCAGATCTCGTTCCAATTGGCGTATTTGAGGTTTAAGAGACTGCCACGTCATAGACTTGACGTTTGTATAGGTACCCAGAAATCAACGTGATCGTGGACACTCGCAGTGAAGTGTTTATGGTGTCGTCCTACTTGACGACGAACGGCACGGTGGAGCACTACGACAACGCCCGCGGATGCGATCCCGACTACTTTAAGGACGGCGTGCCGTCGAAATTAGTGTGGTACGGCCAACAGCATGTGCCCATGATCTTGCATTTCCCAGGTAATATATATATATATATATATATATATATATATATATATATATCGATGGTGGCGATGATATCTATATCTATGTATGGATCATTGAGGTATATATATATATATATATATGTATCGATGGTTGAGATAATATATATATGATTGCATGATATACTGTATGTATATATATATATATATCGATGGTTGAGATAATTTATATTTTTTATGGGCCATTGAGGTATACATGTATCGATGGCCCAGTACTATTAATAGTAGTTTTTTTCTTTCGTAAATATTTATAATAATACTACAAAATAACGTTATTATGCTTTTCACTCGTTTTGGCTATTCACACCATAAACCTGGGTGCTTGTTACATAATCCGTACTATGATTTAGGATTACGTTTCGTTACAGAATATGTTTATGGATATTTATTGGGGTATCACTATGTATTCGATGGTGGAGATAATATATATTAACTCGTTGGGTAGGCGGGTACAAAAAACTGTGGGCATCGTGTGCCGACCCCATGGCCGAGTACTTGAAGCCAAGATCGCCAGGCAAACACATGTGGGACGTGGATCGAAATATTAGGATCCCCATCCACTCGGTGTGCGATTATTACGCTTAATCGTCCGAATTATCGACCAAATCGGTTACTTTATCAATAAATAGTTGTCGTCTCCACCGTATTTCCTGTACAGTATGGTCCTATCGATGCTTTGTATGTCAAATTTGCCTATTTTGGGGGATTGTTGAACATATCGAGCAAAGGAGTATGATTGGCTATAAAGAATGAAGGTCGCAATATGATTGGCTAAAAAGATTCATTGCAGTCCCAAAGATACCTCTTCAACTCAGTCTTATATGAAATTTCGAAGGTTCGGGGGTTGATTCATGAGTAGAACACACAAGTAATCTATGGGTAGCACCACCAACGTTGAAGTCACCCAACGTCGAGAGAGAGAGAGAGGGTCGTACAAGAAGGGGGTGGTCGTACAATCAATCGAGCGCTGGCAGTCCTAGTGGTCATCTTGCCGCGGGGTCAAGAGGGGTATGTGGGTGATCCAGAAGGTTTCGTCTTTGATCAAGTCGACGTGCGCGATGGCGATGCTCTTGTCGGGCGTGCGGAAGAGCGTGGATCCGCGCTTGAACATGGGGGAGATGTCGTTGTAGTTGACTTGGAACTGGGAGAAGAGCAGCTCGTGCTTGGCCTTGGCGTCCGTGTGTCGGAGCAGCGCTTCCGCGTCCTGGGGCGTGGATTCGCCGGTGTGTACGAGGGACCAAAAGCATGTATTGTACAAGTTGTTGATGTGGCAGTCGACGTGACGCCAGCTCAAGTAGTCGCGCATGTTCTGTGAACGAAGAATATGAAGATGGACGGGAGGGGGGGGGTTGTATGACACCTTGTACAGTACCTTGATGGACGGGTAGCTCACGACACGGGCGTCAAACGATGGCGGGTACGTCAGTGGGGTCGACTTGAAGTACTCGGGCCAGTGAAATACAAACGCCGATGTGAAGAGTGACCCGACCGTGGACGCAAGTTTCGTCGACCGTCGGTTGTACACGTTCGTCGTCTTCTGTGCATTCAAACGACAACATGTGAGCGAGAGAACAACGGTCATGTATGAGATATATACACTCGTACCGTGAACACGAGGCTGTATTCGTCGCTTTGACCGTAGGCAAGAAAGATGTCCCCAAACTCTTGCATGACCGCCTTGGCACACTACAACACACACCACTCGTTCACATTGCATGTCAAGTCTAAGTCGTCGGTCGTATACATACGCGATTCATGAGGTGCAACCCGCGGGCATCGTTCGGTTTCGCATAGCCATGGGTGTCGGTGAACCTGTGTGGGGAGGAGTACCACGTGAGTCGATAGATACCTCGATGATGTTGATGCGCATAACGTACTTGTGGAATCCTCGACCGTCCACGCGCACGACAATCCATGTGTTAAGAAGGACCTGGTCCGGCAGTTCAAAGTTGCGCACGTACTCGAACCGGGAGTTGGCCATGACGACGGCGCGGGGCTCTCGTATTCCTCCGAATCTGAAATGGCGCGCTGCAAAGTTACTCACGAGCCAATAGAAACCGACGACTCGAATGATTGGCCCCTGAAGTTCGCTTCGACGTTTTGATTGGCTGAAAATTTAGACCTTTTAATATAACAATACCGATAATAATAACTGGGTACAGAATGTGTATCCAAGCAGGATGCACAATAACGCATACATATATATATATCATATATATATATTTACATGGAGACAGTCTTATGTGCGTTGCTTGTCCTTCTAATGTAAGACTATATATTATCAAGTCGATATATATATATATATATATATATATATATATATATATATATATATATATATATACATGGAGACACTCTTATGTGCGTTGCTTGTCCTTCTAATGTAAGGCTATATATTGTCAACTCGATATATTCGAAATTGGAGTGTCAATCGAATGAGCAGCACCAAATCGGCAGACAATCGATTGACCAATCAAAACCCAGAACACTAATCAGGTAGCCAATCAAATCCACTCTTCGATCGAATTAGTGTGTGACTTCAATTAGTGTGAGACTGGATGGTCCTTACATACAAAAGTCAGTGCAAAGAATCGATCGATACATTTTGCGAATCAGCACAAAAGTCCAAATATTGGGTAAAAGGACAATACTATTCTTAGTATGTAGCATGGCCTTCATCAAGGACCATCGCACTAACGTTGATTAGATCGATTGTGATTGGCTATAAACTAAAATTCGAACTCGTTGATTGGTTCTCTCATTTTGCAGATGCAAAAAGAAACGTAGATGGCCAGTTTATGGCGACGGGAGAGTTTAGGGTACCTCAAATTGGCCAATGGAGTTGCTTGAATAGAGGATTAGCCAATCGAATCGCTAGAAAAATGAAATCCTCAAAACAATAGCAAAAACCCGCCTACATATATTTGAAGCTTACTGTTAAATAGTGTAATGACGGTTTGTCCCTCTACAGTACTTATTTTGCCTTGATTGAAGTAAATGAATGCCAAGATATATTCAAGTCGATTAAATACTTCGTAGTAATAAAGAGCATTAGCTATTGTGGATTCGATACGAATTTCCAGGCCCTGCCGAATCGAATCACGAATCGACGCTATTGGCTAATCCAATTTTGAGTGGATTTGATTGGCTATTGCAGAAAGGACAAGACTATATTTCAACCAATCAGAACTCCAGGGTGATTCAATATTGATTCGACAAACCTGGAAGTTTATAGCGAATTCACAATATCTATTGATAAAACAAAAAACTGCCGAAACCCTCAAATGGCGAGTTTGAACATGTTATCCAATCAATATAATCCAAGGGGCCAAGGGGCTGGACTTCAACTTCCCTACATCTCCATCATCTGGACCGCCCAGTTGTCCGCGGTGCTGTAGTCGTGGTGGTGACGCACGCACATCCGTTCGCGCTGGGCCCACTTGGTGCACCCCGTCACGACACATCGCAATCCGCCTCCATGTCCTCGACAGAAGCCGTTCGAAATAGATCCTTTAGCGCAGTCAGACGCTTGGCAACGACCTCCGCCGCCATGGGCCTTGCACTTTCCTGTGGACTGCATGAACTTGAGGCAGCCAGGGACGTCGCAGGGCTTGGTGCCGCCGTGGGTTGTGCATTCACCAGCAAACTGGGCCACTCGGGGGCATCCATGGATGCCGCAGTACCGTCGACCGCCGTGCTGCGTACACATCCCTTGACAACGAGCGAACTTGACACATCCTTGCTTGGCACACAGTTTACGAGTGGGCGGTGGACGAGTGTTATTAGGGAGTACATGGGACGAGTTGAGCAGCGGGAAGGGATCTTCACACGGGAAATCCAACATCGAGATCCCTGGTAGATCGTCGAGGGAGGTCAAGGCATACCCGTCAAAGGGTCCGACATTTTCGCAGAGACTAGTCATGTTCATGGCAGACGTGCTAAAGGCTCGGGCTTCCATGGCTGAAGTGTCTGGATGGATGCACGTTTGAAAATGGCTGTGGCGGCGGGTTGCAGAAGTTCGCCATGACGCCGTCGCATGCAGGATTCGGTCTATTTTTAGTTCTCGTTTCTGACAAACATTCTGCATCGAAATTCAAGGTTTACCCTTGCAAAACAAATTGTTCACTTTAAGGAATTATCCAGTTTGATAACAGCGACGATATGGACGAGGCTACAGCGCAGCCAATGCTGCTTTACCCGATCATAACAGACGACCGCGACCTCTGACAAATACTGACCCACTGGTACTCAAACGAGGGGGTTTCGTTTAGTATAAGTCACAACCGTATCGCAGATTATTTCGTGTTGTATGTGGCATCTTCAACGAGACTCTATCACGCTCGAGAGAAACAACGCCTTTTGTACACCCCACAGCGTGGCACCGGTTGTGACGGTCGTAGGGGTTAGACGCACAAAAGTTACGTAGGTCCGGAGGTTCGGACTTCAGGACCGGATACTCTCGGCTTGGCCAAGAAGAACACAGCAAGAAAGGAGTAGATCCAATGTTAGGCAAATGTAAAAGTGAACTATCTAAAAACTAGCTAAAGCTGACGACCTTTGAAGAAAAGTCGTGTAGAATAAAAGGCAAGATGGTCGAATTCGAAGATGGTCGGCCCGTCGAATAATATACCTTTGCGATGGCAATATCACGATGTGGTATAGTAGTACAAGCCCATGCTCCAGCTCCGTCACAAGTCCCGCGGCGAAGATTCGACCCTCTTGTCGAATTAGAAATGAATCGACAGTGTTGGGTAGGTGGTGTCGGGTAGGTCAAAAAGGGTAAAAGGTCCAATTTGCACGTAGCCGGTTTTCGTCGCCATAAAAGTAGTGTTGCTGGCGCTGACAACCGACAAAGCCGAGGATAATGGTGCAGATGGAGGAGCCGGAAGGAGGTCGCATGAAAATGAGTGGTCATGGAGTTCGGTACGACGAGGCCACGACAAAATGTACGACGGCACCCGGGACCAGGTGCTGGTAGTCTCAGACTGGACGGACATAATATGACTAGGCAGATGATTGAACGAAATAGGTCGGAAAACAAGGGAATAGTCGGTCAGAATAGTCCGTCGGACAACAGTCTTCAGACGGGAACTGACTGTGGTCTCCATCCATCACTCAGTCAGGCAGCCAATCAGCGGCGACCATGAGTTGACTTCGGCCCGTTGGTAAGATCGTCGATTTGTGGTTTTCTGATTAGGGCATTTTCCAACTTGCTCGTCATGGTTCCTAGGTCAGGAGCAGCCGCGAAGAAGAAGCGGTCGACGTTGCTGTCTTTGACTCGTCGCAACGCGGAGATCCAGAGCGAGGCGGCTGTCTTGCGGCAGACTGATCGTCAGGCAGACGAGGCTAATAGAGCAGCAGCGCAGGCCAACGACGCCGCTCATCAGCGACGGCTGGCATTGGCGAACAAGATCGTGGCGGAGACGCAGCAGGACGAGTTCGATCGATGGGTGCCAGAAACGCCGACAGACTACACGGTGGGCGAGTACCTCCAATGGTATACCGCACAGCCCGGCCTGTCCATGAAGTCCAAAGCACACCAAGAGGCGTCCGTGGCCGCGTTTCGAGCGGAGAGGAAGATGAAAGCTAGCGTGCAAGGCCTGAACTCCGATGAGGACGAGGGCAAGACGATCGATGAGAAAGAAGAAGAAGAGGGGGGCAGCCGTAGTGCGTCGGACGATGATGATACCGAGTCGGAGGTAGAGCTCCTTGTCACCAGCGTCGTCGACTCGTCCAGCTCGAAACAGTTGAGTCGCTTGAAGCGGCCGTCGCCCTTGACGATATAGACTGTCGCCCAATCACACAAGCGGATGAAACACCAAGCGAAGCTGGCCGCTTGGAATTGATGAGGTAGGGGTGAAACGTCTGGAGCACATCCGATATTCCTTGTCTGAGGCCTTGAAGAAAGCTTACATCGCAGCGCGTGATCGGAAACCATGGGAGCAATGGGTGGAGAACTTTGTCTCGTTCGTGCCCGGTCAGACGAAGGCTGAGCGGTCGTGGAATTACAGCCGCCGAGGAGGGATATCATGTACGTCAGTCATCCTTCGGTAGTTGTGGTGATGCGAGTTGCTAGGTCCATGCTTCGTCCAACGATCCCAAACACAAACAAGGGAAGGCCAAGAACGAGTGGGTAAGGCTGGTGTCTGAGCTGCATAGGTTCGCCGGGACGTCGGAGTTCCACTTTCTGTTTCACAATGTCCACCCGTATTGGGCCGAGATCACGCAAGAGCTGTACAGTCTGGCGTCGATGCTGACCAGCCTGGGCGAAGAGGAGACCGTACGATACATCGAGACGCACGGGACGCGCCGATGGCCCGACATCGTCGCGTTTTC